TGTCAAAGGCTTTTCTACTCTCTCTTCAATCCCCTTATGCAAAACAATCAATGAGATTCTAGACAGATTTTTGCTAGTCCGATTGTGATAGTAGCGATCCCCTGTATTTATCAATTCAGCTAGCATATGTTTCATAGTGTTCTTCCCATCAAAGACTCCGTATGAGACTTAACTTACATGCCAAGTAATCTCTATCGTCCATATAAGATGATAATAGTGTGCATCCCTTATTTTCCTTACATCAACATATTTAACATGCCACATGATTTCGTGCATATATGCTTTAATTGAAATAGAGTCCTTGGGCAATTCTAATGTAGATCAATTTTACACCTGTTTAAAATATATGTAAGATTAGTGGCCTCCCTAACCAATCACTTCAAGCCAAGCACCCACGACACATGCGAACGCAACATTAGTTTTCGGGTAGCGAGAGTGTCCGTTTTCGGTAAATATTACCCTACATTTTCTTGTTGTCCAAGCAGAGATAGGCCATGATGGACAAGCAAATCACCTACTACTTCTAAATTATTAGTATTAGGCTATGATGAATATTTCACCATCACCAGCACTCCCATTTACTTTTTTCAAATTTGTATGTTTTCTTGTAACGACTAGAAATAATTTCATACCATTGATATCTCCATTACTACAACACAATCACATAAACGCTCTAATTAATAACACATGTATGGAACGACCCAAATTTCATGTTCATAACATGCATCTTAGAACCTTGGCTTCTAGGATAATCTTCTTATGCATTGTGTATGATGAGACAACTCGTCGAAGGGATGAGTAACAAAAGTGAAAACTAAAACTAAAAATTGAAATCTATTTGAAATTATTTTTACTTTCAAGTTTTTGTTTTCACTTTTGTTACTCCTCCCTCTCATCCTCTCTCTCAATCTCATCCTTACTCTCATTCTCACTCTCATTTTCCTCTATACTCTAGCACAAAAAATGAAAACTAAAAACTAAAATTGAAATGATTATCAAACGGACACTAAACTCTTATCCTCCATTTGGATGAGGGAAAATAACTCGGAATTTAGCTAAAAAGTCGAGAATTTAAGAGGAGAGATATTGACAATTCCCTTATTTGACAACTTAGGCGCGAATTAAATGATGTGGGGAAAAAATCATGGAAATTGAGGCATCAAATTCCCGAGTTTAATTTCTATCAAAATATGCGTCATTTCACAATTTCCGTAGTGTCATTTACAAAATTCAACATACATAAATTCAAACATTGAAATCTTCAATTGCCATAAATTAAAATGATGGAAATCTAAATTCAGTCATTTTAGAATTCTATGTAATTTTCAATTCCTTCATTCAAACGAAGGGTTAGAAATTCATCTCATACCTTGTGCGAGCAATTTTTGTGATTTAATTGCTATAAAATAAATTCATTTTTTACGTGAGGGACTGCATTTGTCTAAACAAGATGACGAAGATTTTATCTATATAGCTAACTTTTCATCACAGTGACAAACATGCGGTTTCGAATCTCGATATATGGAATTGTTTTGCAGAATGGTCTTAGAAAGAAAGTTGGAATATACCTTAAATCGAATATCCTTGCCAGAGCCAAACTTGAGTTAAATCGCATACAGCACATTAGGATTGAACTCTTTCCTGCTGTACGATGTCTTATTTTTGTTCTTTTTCTCTCATCAATCCCAAGGAAATTTTACTAAAATTATAAGGGTCCGTTTGATAATTATTTCAATTTTAGTTTTTAGTAGTTTTTATCTTTTGTGCTAGAATATAGAGGAAAAAGAGGGAGTATGAGAGGGGGGAGTAACAAAAGCGAAAACAAAAACTAAAAACTGAAATCTATTTGAAATTGTTTTCACTTTTGTTACCCTTCCCTCTCATTCTCTCCTCCCCTCCTCTCTCTCGTTCTCATCATCACTCACATTCTTACTCTCATTTTTCTCTATACTCTAGCACAAAAAATAAAAACTAAAAACTAAAATTAAAAGGGTTATCAAACAGGCCCTAAATTATTAGAATATAAGAAGGAAATCATTAATCTATCCGAAAACTTATGCGGCGATGCCACCAACCAAAGCTGAAATGTGGAATTGGCTGTACCGTGTCCAGCATCTCACAATTATTCCAAGTATCTTCCATCAGCTTCGGCATTTCCAACTATCTCTGTTTTCGTGTATATATAGACATGCACGTACACTTTTTTTAAAACTAGATAGCAGCTAGGTTTTCTCCTTCACACTAATGCTTTGATAAGTTTAAGTTCTTGAGTTTGTGGGTCTCATTGCTTTTGGCCAGCTTCATATAACATTTGTAAGTATTTATGATTGTTTACAATACATATTTCTTCTTGCGAGCTGTGTCGAATAAATTACTGTTCTTAGACTAACCTCCCCTCGTTTTATAATGGTTATTTTTCAAAATTTATTGTATGGATATTTGGAGAAGAGTTTTCAACATCCACGCATTACGTAGGCACCATGTAATATGTTACGTAACTATTACATGTTGAATTTTATTAATTGTCAATTAGTTTAGAGTTGGATGCTCCACATCTTAATAATACTGAGTATGTCGTAAACCACATCTTAATAATACTGAATATGTCGTAACACCATGTTATACGGAACGTGTCTTGACTAATCCACTCATATAATAATTTGTGGTGGACGACCAGCATATAACATTAATGAATGTACACATATAATAATATATATTCATAACATCATGTCGGGATACCACATGATAGTGCACCAAAAAAGGAATTGATCCAAGTATGAGACACTACTTAAATTAAGTAATGCATTGTAACGCAGTCGATAGCATTCATGCACTCAAGGCTAAGAGTTCGAACTTCTTTCTCACCTCATTTTCGTATTAAATACTAGATACAGAACTTAGCTCCTCCACCAATGGTCATCGTGGACTTTGTTGTCTACCTCTATCACCTTCCTCCTTCCTCATTGCCCCCAACTCAATCCAATTTTCTCTCTTTCACTCCCTTAAGTGGCCTGAAAGGTGGTCAGCCGAAGAGAGAGAGAGAGAGAGAGAGAGAGAGAGAGAGAGGGAAGGGTTGTAGTACTTCTTACTTGTTAGGGGAGGGGCTGGGTGACAGGGAGGATATTTGGGGAATGGGGAGTCACCGGCAATGGGAGGTATATAGTGATAAATAGGGTATATTGGACTTTTGAGAGTATGGATTCGAATTTAGAATCTCTTTAAAAATAAAAGTAATATTAAATCAAGAGCTAGTTGGTGAGTAAAATGAATTTTAAAATTAAAAAAAGCACCAATAGAATTTCGTATTAGGCAGAAGAGAAAATAAAAATAAAGAATTTCCTATTACATAAAAAATAGGAAATTTAAAAAAAGCACCGATAAAAATTGAAACTTGAAAAACAAAATTATTATTTTATATATAAAGAAAACATTAAATTTTAATATATATTATTTGAGAAAAGAAATATATTTGAATTTAAGATATAAATATAATAATAGTATGTAATATTTTTCTCTAAAACAAATATAATTTAATAAATGGACTTTAAATGGGTCGGGCCGGCCCGTTGGGCCTAATTACCTCATCCTAGCCCACCCAAAGATACAGGTAGTGCCGTGTCGGGCCTTACTTAAGCAAGCCTTGCTCGTGTTCAGGTCAGCCTGATTCGTTTGACACCTCTAGTCTGGAGCCCACTAGTGTAAATCCGCCCTTGAAAGAGGTTGAATTTGTGAGAAATTTTAATTTTAAATGGCATATTCATCTTGTATCAATTATCAAGTCATGTTAGTCAATATAATTCAACTCGGTGTTGGGGTAGGGCAACGTAATATCAACTAGCTATAAATTTAGCGATACTTCTTGTCTAATAATGGAAGACATGCCAAATTCAAATCTCTCATCCTATAATTACATGTACTTATTTAATCTCAGTACCCTATAATGAAAGCATAAACTTAACTTTGATACCATCCTATAATTTATTAATAAAAATATTTTCTAATTCGCTTGGCTTGGTAACCTATACATACAATTCATTATATTTCCAGATTCTTTAAAGATTCTTTTCTGATGACAGATCATTATTCCCAAAACAAATTCAATTATTTTGGTGTAGATATCAGCTGTGACTCCAGCAAACTAGAAATTATCATAATTAAAAAAAATAGAAAAGTTGATATAGATCCAAATTCTTATTGAGGAGTTGCGTTTAATCATCAGATTTGGTGACTTTGATTCAAGTCCTTTGACTTTTGTGCCATATAGAATTACATTCCTTTTTTAATATTTTATGATGTAATCTTTTATTTTTTTTATTTTTAAAATCATTTTTTGTTCCAATGTTGCCCCTTATGCCTTGAATCGGATAATAATTATTTATGTCATATTGCCTATTGCCTACTGCATAGGTATACATATGTTTTTCATATTTTCGACCATGTGTAATAGTATTTTAGGTACTTTTTTTTTAATAGGCAACATACAATTTTATTTTGTCTATTTTTGTATCTGACTTATAGGTAGTCTTCTAATTTATATTCATAACTTATAGGTAACATGATTTATCACTAAGTATTTTTCGTTGCTAATAATAACACTATTTACCTGTATGTCAGGTACATAATTTAATGTGAGTGCTTGTCTGATCGATTGGTATAATATGTGGGTCTTTACTTTTTATTGATTAAATTTTATTTTATTCATATATTAGGAATATTATCAAGGAAAGAATTCAAAATTAGTATTCTGGAATTCAATTTCAAGGAAATAATGCATTAAATTTAGATTTTCAATGTGTTTTCCTTATTTACCTCAAAGGGTAAAATCTACACAACAAAAAGTAATAAATGTCAAATGACCTACATCTAAAAAAAAAAACGCGAAGACTAAATCCAATGATAACTAATTGTTTTGAACCTAGATCTAAAAAGCCCTTTCAAAAAAACACACAAAACACTAGCAAAAATATTTATATATAAATCTTGACCAAACAAAAGTGACACGATGCGGACCAAATATTTATATATAAATCTTGAGTACAGAAGCTGCAGAAAACAGAGAGTATATTTAACCTGTTGAGCTCCCTCAGTTTCAGAAGGAAAACAAGATCATCAGAAAGCAGCACATCCAAGCATTATTGCAAGAATGGGAAGCAATGAAGGATATGGAGCAGAGAGGTAATTAACTCTATTAATATTAATATCATTTAATTAGAATGTAATTAGTGAAAATAAATGGGGGGTACCAATGAGGGTTGGTCAGAGTGGAAGGGGCTCTGATTGCTTAAGCAAGTGGTCTCGGGTTCGAGCCCTTGTGGATGCAGAAAACTTTCTTGAGAGAGGTCCCTGCATATGCACCTGACAGTACCTCGGAAGATTAGGCCTAAGCCATGCCTGAGGATACCTTGGGAAACCAAAAAAAAATACAAATAAATGGGGTTTTCTGCTGGGTAGGTATGCGGTGGTTTCAGGAGCAAACAAGGGCATTGGATATGAGGTGGTGAGGCAGCTTGCTGCATGTCAAGGGGTGGTGGTGGTTTTAACGGCTAGAGATGAGAAAAAGGGAAGGGATGCCACGTCACAGCTCCATCACTTGGGTTTCTCAAATGTGCTCTTCCATCAGCTTGATGTTTTGGACCCTTTGAGCATCCAGTCTTTAGCCAACTTCATAGACAACAGATTTGGCAGGCTTGATATCCTGGTAAGGGAGGGTTTCTAATTTTATTTTATTTTTCTATTTTGTTTTGGGTATTTTTTCAGTTTAATTTCTCATATTTCCAAAAGAGTGATTTTTTCGACTTAGTAATTTTCTTTTCTCTTTTGTTTTTTAATCCATAATTGTTTTAATATATAGTGGTAAATTTATTAATTTGATCATTCAAAAATTTCACCACCGACCTCCTCCTCCTTCCCAAAGGCTCCCTCAACCCCTCAGATCTAAGGGTAGCCAGCAGGGAGCGAGGAGGCAATTGGCTGTGAGCTATGTCCAGCTGTCAAGAGGCAATTGGCTGGGGATACTGAGGTGGAAAGCTTACCTTGGCATCCCATGCCACACAAGTTTTTCTCCTAAACTAGGGAGTATGATTGAAGTTCAAATTTTATATACAGCTCCTAAAATAACTTTTGTGTGTTTTTTTGCTAAATTTTAACTAAAAAATAGAGAGCATAATTGTAGATGTTCTAACACACTTGCATAATGTATCAAACCCGAGAAGGTTCATGGGCAAACCAATAGAAAAACATATAGGTACTAAAGAACTTTGGTTGTAACGAATAAAGTGTTATTTGGATTGGCCCAGGCCTTTGGCGTGCTTCCAAGTGGTCCCAGGTTCAAGCCCTCGTGCTACCCGTGTGTGTGAGTTTTCCCCCTTCTCCCTCCTAACTTTGGCCCAAAAAGAAAAAGGATAAAAATAACTTGTTTGTATTGTTCTGTAAAATTTAGTAGGAACTGTTTCCTCCTTTGGTGGGTAAAACGAAGTGATCTGACAGTTTGATTCCTGCAGGTTAATAATGCTGGAGCCAGTGGAGCAGTGGTTGATGAGGAAGCTTTAAAATCCCTAAACATTGATCCCACAACTTGGGTAAGTTGGTTAAGGCTGTTTCTCTCACTCATATGTAGCCACAACCAAAAATCCCAGCACCTAAGTAATGGACTAGTTGTGTTTGTGCAGCTTTCAGGCAAAGCGGTCAACAAAATTCAAGGTGCAGTAAAATTCACTTATGAGAAGGCTGAAGAATGCTTGAACACAAATTACTATGGTCCTAAAAGACTAACTGAGGCTCTTCTCCCACTCTTGCAACTGTCCCCTCAGGGAGGAAGGATTGTGAACGTCTCCTCTCTAAGAAGTGAACTGAAGGTATAAAAAACCCTAGCCTATCTATATATCGCATGCCATTCATCGTTAATCACATCGTCATTATTAATTACACATCACTTATTGTTAGTAGTAGAATGACCCATTATATGTTGTATTTTATTTTGTCAATTTTCCAACGTAATGCTATCAACCCTACTTTTAAAGGTGATGTTCTTCGGCTAGATAAGTCTAGCAAGAGAACATTGCCCAAAACACATGACAAATCGAGATGGAACCCTTGATATGAACTCTCCTTCCAAGTCCTACTAGCAGCTCCTGAAAAAAATTGTAAACTGCATAACCAAAAAGTTATCAATATTCCATGCAGAGGATACCAAGTGAAGAAATAAGAAATGAGCTTGGGGATGTGGAAACCTTGACAGAGGAGAAAGTAGATGCACTTTTGAGAAAGTTTCTGGTTGATTTTAAACAAAATGCACTTGAAGCCAATGGATGCACACTGATGCTGCCTGCATACAGCATGTCCAAGGCCACCCTCAATGCCTACACAAGAATCCTTGCCAAAAAGTATCCAAAGATGTATATCAACTGTGTGCATCCAGGCTTTGTTAATACAGATATCAATTGGCATACAGGAACAATGACTGTGGAAGAAGGGGCTGCAGGTCCAGTCAAGTTGGCTCTTCTACCAAATGGAGGCCCTACAGGCTGCTATTTTGATCAAACTGAAGTTGCAGACTTTTAATTCATATATATGTTATAAGTTATGCATTTCCACCTGGGTGTTAAGTAATAACTATGTGAAGTTATTTTGATAAATTTGAAATATTAAGTGCTTGTGGGAGTTAGAATGATTCTATTTTCTTTTTGTGGCCATCAAGACTTGCAACAAGGTTGAGAATTCTGACTCATTAGACTTGGATTATATACTAGAAAAGCATATATATATGCTTGTGCAAACCCACTTAAAAGGATCAAGAAGTCCTAAAGAGTTTTCATAAGACGTAAAGCCTTCTTTTATTTTCTTTTTTCTACGATACTGCCTTATCTTTTGTGGTTTAACCATAATGGAGAGTGAGAACAGAACATATGATTTGATGAAAGAGCATGAACTATTGGATTTATGCTATCACTATAGATGAATACGCAATTTGAAGTAAATTTGTTGTACATTCATAGGGTTTATTAACCTCATGTACAAGATCCTATTCCTAGGGATGGCTTCGGTCCAACCCACGCAGTGCTCATAGGTATGTTCGGTGAATTTTAGAAGTTTTGGAAATTAGAAATAGAACTTTAATTAGGCGTGACATGTGGCGAGATTTTGGCCATCCACGCAGTGCTGACGGAGCACATCTGACGAACGAGAGGCGCTAACATTAACTAATGAAGACTAATAGGGGACCACGTGGCAACGTCTGATTGGGCCACGCGAAGCTTACACAGCTTCCACTAAGAGTGAAAGAAGATGTGCTGACACATAGTTGTATCTCGACCATTGATTGCTTGACTGGTAAGTGATATCGATAGGCGAGATTGAATACGTAGAAGGCGAGTAGTGAAGACCCAATCTGACTTGGGTAGGATTCGCATGTCGAGCCCACGGGTAGCAAATGACCCACACAGTAGCCATTCGATTCCAGTCGTTGATCTGAAGTCGTTTACTCGATCTACACCGTTCATCTCTAGCTTGTTTTTTACGCGATCTCAATCATCCATTGAGTTCTTTGGCGCAATCCAACGACTGACAATGCACTACCCTTAAAACTTGATTTGGCCTTTCATTTTTATTCAAATGTTCTTGTTGACACCATGTTGACCTCACATTCCTCCTTTAGCAAATCCCACCAATTAAGGGATAACCCTTGCTTGTCATACCTCACATCCCACCAAACAATGAGTAGCTAGCCATGCCCCCTCCTATGCTTTCTCAATGCCCAAGGCCCCCAAATCAAGGGGAGACCATGTAGAATCCCTAAATCAAGGAGAGCCACGCCTTCTCTACCACTACTTGGACTACAAATGGGAGCTCACCACCTCCAAGCAAAGGATCCAATAGCTGTCCAAAGCTCTCTATTTCTCTTCTACTAGAGCTCTCAAGCCTCTCTCCCCATATCTCTCTCATGTACAATGTAATCTCCATATTCAAATATAAATACAAAGTTATAAACTATAGTGGATGTAGCCCCATTATGAGTGAACCACTCAAGCACTTGTGTTATGTGTGATTATGTCTTACTCTCTTATGTACAAATTCATCTGTTAACAGTTCTTTTCAAGTTAATCCATGTTGTCCATTTAGTTTCCTTCCTACTATAAATAGCCTTGTCCCCCTTCTTTTTTTTTTTTTTTTTTTTTTTTTTTTTCCACTTTTGGCTTGAACAAGGTTAAGAGCTTCTCTTTGATAGATGAAAAATAAAAAATAAAGAGCTTCTCTCTCTTTCTTGTTTTGGTAAGTCCTTCCCCCTCTACTTATTTTAATTCATTATATTTATTTATCTTAAGTTCTTTTAATTAGTTTTAATTATTTCTTAGTTAGTTTAGTTTGTCTATTTAATTTTAATTATTAGTTTAGTTAACTTTTTAGTTTTAATTATTAGTTTAGTTAACTTTTTTTCTTTTTTTTTTTTATAGTAAAAGCGATAGTCTACATGGGAGGGGATTTCTTACTCACACACCTCTAGTCTGCAAGTTAAGGCCCCTTTCCACTGGATTAGTTTAGTTAATTAGTTTTCATTATTGTTTAGTTTAATTTATTTATTTCATTATTTTGAATTTAGTTAAATAATTTTGTAATTTCTAATTTGTTTATTTGATATAATTTTGCAATTAAGTAATATTTATTTCATTAGTGATTACTTTTAATTATTCTTTATTTAGTGAGTATTAGTATTTAAATAATTTAAATAATTTCGAAATTTAAATAATAAATAGTAAATAAATATTGTAAATTATTTTTGGACATTTAAAATTAGGTTTTAATTTCCAGAAATTATTTTTAAAATATTTTTTTATTTCTAAAATTACTTTTAAGAGCTAGTTGGTGAGTCACCGGCAATGGGAGGTATAGTGATAAATAGGGTATATTGGACTCTTGAGAGTATGGTTTCGAACTTAGAATCTCTTTAAAAATAAAAGTAAAATTAAATCAAGAGCTAGTTGGTGAGTAAAATGAATTTTAAAATTAAAAAAAGCACCAATAGAATTTCCTATTAGGCAAAAGAGAAAAGAAAAATAAAGAATTTCCTATTACATAAGCACCTCACATATCATATTCATATTATAAGATGAAATATTATAAACGTGTTCACATCCAAGGCCAGCCCAAGCTTAAAGCAAGAAAACGAAAACCCCAATTACTTTTTTTTTGGGTCAACAAAACCCGATTGGTATTTTGCATCCAACAAAAGTTTCATAATTTGATTTTAATATTAGAAATTATTCTTTGACTTGGAATTTAATTGAAGATAACTTTTTGTTTTCATTTTTATTGTTTGCACTACTCATACACACTCTCTCTCATCTTTACTAATAAATATCGCTTATATTATAATTATAAAAAAAACAAAAATACGATGTATGCGTGTGTGGGTTATGTGTGTTAGGGTAAAAGATTGCTAAGAGGGTGGGCTTATTGTTACATAAAGGAGTGGGCTTCCTTTTGGACAGTGGGCTGGGCTGATTTCTAAATTACCTAAGTTGGGTTGCACCTCTAAGCCTATTTTCAAAAATCAGGATTGGTCTGGAATTGAAATGTCAAATGGGTCGTGTCGGTCCGAATTGGCTCATAAACGAGTGGTGTCGGGTTTGTTCATTTATGAAAATCATTAATTCCAGACCGAGCCCATATGGAATCGGGCCATGCTCGTTCGGCTCGGGCCCACACTAAATTTGACATATGTAATACTTTTTTTTTGTAATTTTTTTTTTACAACTTCATTTAAATCATTTTAAAAATTATGTACATACTAACAAGATTTATTATTTGTTTAAAAAAGAGGCTAATAACTTTATTTAAAGTACATTTAAATAGAAAATGGCTAGATTATTGTTTGCATTTTAAAAATTGAAACTTTGAAAACAAAATTATTATTTTATATATAAATAAAACATTAAATTTTAATATATATTATTTGAGAAAAGAAATAGATTTGAATTTAAGATATAAATATAATAATATTATGTAATATTTTTCTCTAAAATAAATATAATTTAATCAATGGACTTTAAACGAGTTGGGCCTGTCTATTGGGCCTAATTACCTCATCCCGGCCAGCCCAAAGATACGGTCAGTGTCGTGTCGGGCCTTACTTTAGCAGGTCGTGCTCGTGTTTAGGTCGGCCCGATTCCTTTGACACCTCTAGTTTGGAGCCCACTAGTGTAGATCCGCCCTTGAAAGGAGTTGAATTTGTGAGAAATTTTAATTTTAAATGGCATGTTCATCTTGTATCAATTATCAAGTCATGTTAGTCAACATAATTCAACTCAGTGTTGGGGTGGGGCAACATAATATCAACAAGCTATAAATTTAACGATACTTCTTGTCTAATAATGGAAGACATACCAAATTCAATTCTCTCATCCTTATTATTTAACAAATCAATGAAAAATAGACAGGGGGCCTGGTGTGGAGCATTACTTAACATGGTTTGTCCTATTGCTTTTGTCCAAAGTCCAAAAGCAATTTATCCCTAATGTGTTCTTAACCATATTTTTATCATGTGAAATGTGTACTTGTTTAATCTCAGTACCTTCTGTCACCTAGGTTGAAGTTTACAAGCATCAAAGCATAAACTTAAATTTTGATACCTCCTATAATTTATTAATAAAAAATCTTTTCTGATTCGCTTGACTTGGTAACCTATACATACAATTCATTATATTCCAGATCATGGAGCCTGCTTTAACGATTCTAAAAAAATTCAATTATTTTGGTGTAGATATCAGCAGCAGGACTATATATTAATTCATTTCTTTTCAAGTTTCAAGTTTCAACAGCCAAACTTTTATTAAACAGTAAAACTCATGATCAATTAACGTCGTTTCTGTCTACCATTATCTAAAAATAATGATGTTATTAACAATTGGACAGTTAAATCTTTGACCAAATCGATGTGACTCCAGCAAACTAGAAATTATCATAATAATAAAAAAAACACAAACCACTAGTAAAAATATTTACATATAAATCTTGACCAAACAAAAGTGACACGATGTGGACTATATATTTATATATAAATCTTGAGTACAGAAGGGGCAGAAAAAAAGAGAGTATATTTAACCTATTGAGCTCCCTCAGTTTCAGAAAGAAAACAAGATCATCAGAAAGCAGCACATCCAAGCAATATTGCAAGAATGGGAAGCAATGAAGGATATGGAGCAGAGAGGTAATTAACTCTATTAATATTAATTTCATTTAATTATAATGTAATTAGTGAAAATAAATGGGGTTTTCTGCTGGGTAGGTATGCGGTGGTTTCAGGAGCAAACAAGGGCATTGGATATGAGGTGGTGCGGCAGCTTGCTGCATGTCAAGGGGTGGTGGTGGTTTTAACGGCTAGAGATGAGAAAAGGGGAAGAGATGCCACGTCACAGCTCCATCACTTGGGTTTCTCAAATGTGCTCTTCCATCAGCTTGATGTTTTGGACCCTTTTAGCATCCAGTCTTTGGCCAACTTCATAGACAACAGATTTGGCAGGCTTGATATCCTGGTAAGGGAGGGTTTCTACTTTTTTTTTTTGGGGGGTATTTTTTCTGTTTAATTTCTCATATTTCCAAGAGTGATTCTTGGGACTTAGTAATTTTCTTTTCTCTTTTTTTTTTTTTTTAATCCATAATTGTTTTAATAAATAGTGGAAAATTTATTAATTTGATCATTCAAAAATTTCACCACCGACCCCTCCTCCTTCC